GATATACCAATTTTAATTCTTCCGTTCGTAAACCTTCTATCACATTCCTAAAATTTGTCTCCCAGGAATACAATTTCAAGATTTTCATATTTGAAAGTGCTTCTGTTATGGCCTTCAACCTTCTGTTTTGTGCTACCATGAGCTTCGTTTGATACTCATGCTGCAACTTCACTAATGGTGAGCTTGCTAGTGCACTCAATAAGAGTACAGCTAGAGCTGCAGCAATTGCCAGACCCACAGAGAAGTAAACGATAAGTAATGAAAGGCACAGCTGAAGGCTTGTGGTCCATATCTGATGAAACCAGTATGGAAACTCGCCGATTCTGTAAGCATCCACCGTCACATAATTCACTATCTCACCAGGAGAATGTGTCATCTTGGCAGCATTCGAGAGTCGTAGTTGCTTCTGATATATGGCTGCTGACACCAATGATCTCACTTGAAGCCCCATCAGTCTAGTTTTAAAATACCATTGCCTCTCCGACAGTGACTCAATGATTTTCACAACAAAGAGGCCAAAAGTCAGTGCATAACCTTCATATTTCAAAGCTGCATTGCCTTCAATAATCTTAATGAAGGCCATGAGAAACAGTGGACTGGTTGACGTGGTGAGAGTCTTGATCAGAGCAAATAATCCCGAAATCAAAATAGCTTTCCTCTGGCAATGAAAAATAATGGACAAGATAGAAGGTTGAACAGACGGATCTGCTTCCTTCCTTTTGTTCAATTGCTCCATAAATATGAAGTACCACGTTCTTGCTTGATCATCCTGCCGCAGCTGTGGAATATCTTCATTCTCGAGAACCTTTTGCTTACCTTTCTTCATTAACGAATTCAACCACCAAAATGACATTGAGCTGCATAACCCTGCTTTTGCAAAAGGTGTTACATTGTCATCTGAACTGATTTCACCTATTTTATCAGACTCTGCACCTTGTAATGGTTTGTAGAAGGCGTCACCGTCGATCTCTGAATCGCCTTTTGCAAAATTGCTTCCCTGAAATGCACTAAATAGCAAAAGAATTGATCCAGGGAAGTAGAAAATGTTTAAAACAATCTTAACCGATACTGCCTCCTCCACAATAGCTTTCCAAATTGATGAACTTGAAAGAAAAACTGCAATCAAGAAGCCAAGTATTGAACAAGATTTTGTTATCACAGTTTCTTGTGGTTGTGGCTTGTTGAGGCTTATGAAAAAAGCTAGAAGCAACCATGTGAACCCTTGGAAGAGCAAAGCTAGCCATCCATGGAGGGGAAAAACGGTCTGGTCTGCATTTACTTTCTTGACGATTGTCCATATCCCAAAACCAAAGTAAGCTAAAGCCAAACCAGCATTGAAGGTGGCCGAGATTATTGACGCTGAAGAGATGGTATGAGACTGTGACGGTGCCATAACCTTCCTTGATGATAATTTGCATGTGAACATACATAACAAGATAAACAGAAGTAAAACATCAGCTGCAATGACCAAAATGTTGTTGATACATGAATCTGGATTGGTAATGGCTGAATTGCCAGAACTGCATTCATTTCCGGCCTCAGTTGAACACTCAGAATTACTGCAAATATATAAGCTCCAGAAATGCTCCCCCATTGTTGCGTCTCAGTAAGGTCGAAAATCTACACGATTACAAGAAAAGCGTTTGAAAGAAGAAAAAGATCTGCATCTAAAATTCATGTTTTTGAAATGCATGAGATGAAGGACTCAAAAACTCGAAAGTACTGCAGTTCATGTTGTTCAACAACTGAGATAATATTAAGTTAAAGATGAAACAGGACACATACGGCACAAATACGAACTGCCATGTATGAATAAAACGTTAATGTAACTGCCATGTATGATAAACAATTTGAACCATTCCCACCACATATTTAAAAACTTTTTTGTTTCTTCTAAAAATTGCAGAATCTGCAGATGAAGCTGTATATCATGCACCACAAGTTGGAAAGAACTAGGAGCATCGGAAAACGAAAAATAGAAACATTTAGCAAAATAAGATTGCTGTGGTCTATACTCTATATCGCTCAAGAAACATGCATAAGAAAACTTACAGTAGATTAAGCTGAAGTGCAAATCAGCCTTCCGGTCTAGCTTGCTCTTGAAGTCTCAGAGTTTAGTTTGTCATGCATAAAACCCGAGTTCGAATCTCTCTTCCCGCATTGATTTTAAAACCCGTCTTCAAAAGGCACGTGAAACATCTTGTAGGACAGTGTCATTGCATTATGTATGGCATGCCAAATTCATAACTTCTTTTTGGGTAAGATGTCACATCAGTGGACCTTTCGGCTTCATAATACATGGTGGCTTAACCTTTGGAAAAAAAGAGGAAATTACAATGTTTTTTAGCCTTTTGCTTTCACACTATCCAACTGTCTAAAGAAATGTTTTTCCCATCATGTTTTCCTGGCTCCAGTATTCACTGGCAGACATTGCAATTAGGGCTTGTGTGGTGTCTAGGATTAAATTAAAATTAATAACCCCTTAGGTTCAAAGTATATTGAAGGTAAGAAGATAGTGGTTTTTGGGATCAGAAGAGGATTAGACATAAGGGAAGCTTCTCCCTTCTAATCCTCCCATTTTAGAGAGGATTGGAATGGATAAGTTTTCTTCTTAAGTAATCCATCTCCAATATCCAAGTTAGCCACAACTTTACCATTTCTTTGTTAGTGGCTTATCCATTCCAATCCAAACCTCTATACCGAACGAGAGGGATTCGCGTTAGCCCAGTTGGTGATGAGCGTATGAGCTCATAAAAGTGCCACCGGATGGTACGATTCCTTCTACTGCAATAACAAATAAATACACACCCATGTCGCGGGTGATATCACCTTATGATGAGTGTATAAGCTCACAAAAGTGCACCAGACAAAAGCTGAGGTGCAACCGGGTGTTGACGCCCTTTTGCTCGTCTCCCTCCTTCCACATCGCATCAGTCTTTTGCTTTTCTTAATGACTGTCATTTCCTATTTTCTTTTGCTAGTGACGGTCATTTTTCATTCTCACACATTGAGTTATAGGCAATTTAGTGAGTGAAAATCATTTCCTATTTTCTTTTGTGAGAGTTAAGATGAACAATTTTGAAAGAAGAAAACAGGAAAAATCAAAGCTAGGATATTTAGCATGGATAACTTTGGATTAATATGTAGTATATTTCTATATACTTAAACTCAGTCGGGTGGGTGTTGTGGATGACCAATGGGCGGACGGTTTTGTATCTCCATATGACATTATCTGCTAATTTTTTGTATCTGAATATGATCCTTCTGATCCAAAGATGGTTGCAACTGCTGTGATCCAATCGATAACTGTCATGTTTGTCTCTATCTTCTCTGAATTCAGCCTTTTCTCTATAAAGCTTTTCCAATTTTCTGTTATTAGTGTTGTTGCTGCTTTGCAGCTTTGCAGAACCATTTTTCAAGTCTTCAAAATAGTGTTTCATCCTAAAGTACTGTAAGCCGGTCTTATGAAAAAAAGGTTCTAGCCGTGAACTAACATGGTATCAGAGCAAGTTTAGAGCCGGACTTGAGGGGGAGTGTCAGCATAAGTCTGCACACATCTCCCAAATACATTTCGAATATGTAGTATATGGGCACCATTTATACACGTTTCACACAGCCAAATAATATGCTGCTTTTTTTTTTTCTTTTTTTTTTTTGATCAACTAAATAATATGCTTCAACTTGGTAAAAGTAATACACTTGAGTGAGCAGGAAAACATGTGATTGCAAAGAATAACCAAAGGTAGTGGCCATTTGAATCTAATGCCATATCTACCACACAACACAAGAAGTTGCAAACATTAATCTTCTTTTTCAGAAAGTTGAAATATTTCTGTGGGTCTGTACTTGAAGTTGCTTGCTAAACTTTAAACTTTATTCGGAACTTTTTACACATCGAATGCCTTTCCTTATCATCCGTCTGAGTAGATGCCAGGATTGGCAGCGAAAGATCAGTATTTAGGGATCGGCAACGATTATGGTATGACTGCGATTATTTACTCTTAACCGTTAATGCTTTTATTCGTATAATCCTTTACCTGTTAGATAATTGTCTAAACGGTTATACTCATACTTATATCCATAACTGTTTATAAACGGTTAACCATACCCATAAATGCGTACCCATTTAACCGTAATCGTATATCTGTTTATCCATTTTTAAACTTGTTTAACTTTTTTTTACCCATTTACCCATTTTTCAAATTTTTTTATTCAACTTCCAAAGTTGAATAAGATAAAGAGATGAGACTTTGGTGTTTATTTTGCAGTTCCTAATTGTTTAGGAATATGATCGTGTAAATCCTATTATATCTTGGAATATGCTTGTGAGATTCGATGTTATTCTATTATAGTTGTAATTAGAGTATGGAATTTACCTTCATACTATTATAAATAAAGGCGCAATATGATAAAATAAGATAAAGCTCACAATCACACGTCTCTTTTCTTTTTGCCGTGCCGCACCCTTTCTCTCTTTGCCGTGCCGCACCCCCTCTCTCTTTGTCCTTTATATTATTCAGTTAAATAGGCCTACACCAGATTAATGATAATTATCATGAGTATTGTGATGATTGCTTACAATGCAGCTATTACCAATTGCAGCAAGTAATTTAACTTGTTTCGAAGTTCTTTTGGAGCATGGAATATAGATCATCCAAATTATATATCTTGGAAGAAAAACCAAGACGTATAGTAAATAATTGAAGATATATATAAACACACACACGATATGATGGCAGCGAGGTGAGGTCGACAATTTAAGGTTTTTAGTTTTTAGTTTTTTTATTTTTTTTATTTTTTATTTTACATATATTAAAAATAAACAGCAAATGAGTACTCATTTATAACCTCACTACTCATTTAAATTTCACAGATATACCCAACCGTAATCGTGAGTTGTTTTAAATGGTTGGGTTACTGCGGTTACCCATACCTGTGGTATTTTGCCCATCCCTACGTATTCCTTGACTAGCTGTCCAAATAATGAAGCTCCTGATACCACTTGTGGTAAATAAACCAAACAATCAAGCAATAAACAAATACACAACACACAAATTTAGAGTTCCTCTAATATAAGAATACCTCTCTAACAACGAAAGTTTTATAACATTCAAACGAATACAAGATAACTCCCAAACTCAAAGTGCTCTCAACTATACAAACTTATGCCCTTCAAACTCTCATGCAAAACCTCTCCCAAAGCCATCTGTTTATACTAATGGATGCTGTGTATTTGACACGAAATCACCTAAAACTGAATCCAAACCAAACTAGGAAGTTGTACATAATGATACCTTGCTTCCAAGATATCCCAACCCTACACCTTTCCTGATTCTTGTTTTATTTTAGGCATGCTGATAATACTGAATCTCCTTCTTTGACATTGTCGGTTGTTTCGGAGTCGAGGGATCCACATTTTGAAGTTATGTTGTTCATCAAAATTTTGATTTTTCGATTTAATTGATTCTGTCTTCTGAGTGGATGCCGGCATTCGCAGCACGAGACCAATATTCCTTGACTAGCTGCCCAAAAAGCGAGCCCTCGTTCTTCATCAGCTCCGTTGGCTCATCATACTCCACCAGTCTCCCTGTCATTGTACATTTCGCCAATCAATTAACAAGTAAAACAACATAAGTAAGAGATTACTAGCAAAAGCATTGCTTACCATCACTAATAGCAAGCACTTTCGTACAGTCCATCACGGTTGGGATCCTATGAGCCACGGTTATTACGGTGCAGTCTGCAAATTCTGTTCTTATAGTTTTCTGCAGAATAGAGTCCGTTGTATTGTCCATTGATGCAGTGGCTTCATCGAGCACCAGTATCCGGCTCCTCTTCAACAAGGCACGTCCCAAACAGAACAGTTGTCGCTGCCCCATGCTCCAGTTTGCTCCATCTTGTACAACTGCAGTCCATGTTTTTATTTACTTCTTCATTTATACACTTTCAGATAATAATATTGTTTGATTCATTGACACCGAAAAGCACTCCTGCAAGAAATAGTTTCTTACCTAAAGAATCCAGGCCGTCTTCTTTTTGTTGAATGGCTTCTCGCAACTGACATTTGTCAAGAACCTTTTACGCATTGAGATGGAAGATAAATGAAGTTAGGCAAAAGGAAGGTTACAGTGTATCAAATGGTTGTTCTGAAATGTCGAATTTTACTGCCAGACGTAATTTCAACAAGTGATATCAATCATCACATAAGAAAAAAAACTTACCTCCCATATTTGGTTATCAGTATGCTTAGATAAGGGGTCTAGATTGAATCTCACAGACCCACTGAATAATGTCGGATCTTGTGGGATGATCCCGAGGCGTGATCTTAAATCATGAAGTCCAATTGTACAAATGTCATAGTCATCTACAAAAACCTTTCCTTCTGTAGGCTCTACCAGACGAAACAGAACACTGATAAGAGTAGTCTTTCCACTTCCAGTCCGGCCAACAATCCCAATTTTGTCCCCTCCTTCAATTGTGCAATCTATCCCATGAAGAACTAGTGGAGCATTTGGCCTGTACCTTACCTGCACAAGTTTGAGTCTATGTCACAGTCATATACAAGTCTCATTGTTCTTACAGTTCAACATTATTTCTTTTGTAACACAAACCTTTAAATCGCATACTTCCACTTTACCAACAGTAGGCCAATTGTGCACAGGTCGATTGTCTTCTATTATTTCTGGAGCTTCACTAGGAATATGCATGTATTGTTCTACCCTTTCCACAGAAATGATTGCATTTGCAAGCATGCACTGATATTGGACAGCATGTACGACATATACATTCAATGAGAGACCATAGGATAGCGTCATGCCAACAAATCCTGTGAAACAATTAAGAAAAATGGTTTATTAGGGGCTAGGGCACATGAAATGCAAACGATGGCAAACTGAATTTTGTAAAGTTATGAGGTCAAATCTGATGGTGGAAGCTAGTGTTTACTAACCAGACGAAGAAGCCTTGAATCGAATCAAAGTAATGGCAAATGCTGAGGCTGAGAGAACAATAGCGCATACCAACTCAAGACGTCCTCTCAACCACTCATTTGCAGAAAAACTATTGAAGTCCATGCTAGCATTTGCATCAATAAGCTCCAACGTTTTTGAGAGGAACCGATCCTCCTCTCCAAACGCTCTGATAGTCAGGGCTCCAGCATTAGATTCGGCAAGGTGGCTTACAAGGGCAGACTTGGTTGTACCATTCATTCGTATCAACTCTTTTGCCGAAGCAAAGTAGTAATTCTGTTTGTAGAAAAGAAAATCAAATAGCACATTCTTTGTTTAGAGAAGGCAAATCAAAGGTAAGGAAATTATTGAAGGACTAAACAAGAGTGTTTCTCTTAAGTACCTGTAAGACTATAGTAACACAAATTGTGGGAATAATCAGAAACACGACTGGCCAAGTACGAAAAACCAATACTAAAAATATGCTATATGTGTTCAAAGTTCCCCCAACCGCAATGATAAACTTGAAAGCCACTTCAAGGTCAATGATATTCATATCAGTAGATACCTAAACAAAATAGCCAATCCAAATGTTAGTTCCATTAGCTTACTGTAAAGAATATCATTTCAAATCTGTTTTTTTGAATCTTACCCGACTAAGTATCCTTCCCACGGGTGTTGAGTCATAAAACAGTATTGGTGCTCGGAAAAGAGAGTTCAATAGGGTTTCAAAAATGGATCTTGATGCCCCGCATCCTAAGTAGACTATAAAGAAAGATCGAATGAACAAAGCAAGTGCCATGATACACATGATCACAGAATAAACAGTGAAGAGTTTTACTCTTGACATGCTTGAATCCTGAAGTTTCGAAGCCAACCAATAATATTGAATTAGTTGCCCAACTATGAACATTGAGTAGAGAAGGATGCACACAGAGAAGTACAAAAATCCCTTGCTCGGCTTCAAATACTGGATGTATGGCTTAAAACCAGTGTCTCCTGTTTCTCTCTCTTCTTGCTTAATCAATTGGTCTCCTGAAGATTCCCTTAGAGGTAACTCAGTGTTAACTTTCTCAATCTCCTCCGTGGCTAATTTATGTTTTCCGGTAGAAGCATGTTCAACTTGCGTCTCAGAAACAGCAGTGTCATCGTGTGCATTGATGAGGTCTTGGAACTCTGGACAAGACGCTAGCAACTCTTCGTAAGGAGCTGCTCTTAAAATTTGCCCTGAATTCATCAACTGTGAAGTAAAATACATATTACATGATGTTCTTGCTTGATATACGAGACTTAAGTACCAGATTATTGAACGCATTAAGAAGAATGATCAGTAAACCATGAAAAAATATAAACAATGGAGATATTAACAGTATTCAAATTAATAAATACCAATATCGAATTAAATGCTGGAAGGAAGTCAACTTGGTGTGTCACTAGCAAAACAGTCTTCTTAGCAAGCGCTCCCATGACATATTCCTGGAAAATTATCACATTATGTTTCACAGGACAGAGAGAAAAGAAAAATGGCAATACCTTCATTCATTACTAGTTTGAGAGGCAAATAAATAAAGAATTACTACATTGAATAGGCTGGTCGCAGTATGAGCGTCAACTGCACTGAAAGGGTCATCCAAGAGGTAGACATCAGCATTTTGATAGAGTGCACGTGCAAGTTGAATGCGCTGCTTCTGCCCACCACTTAGATTGACACCTCTCTCTCCTATCTGAGTTAGATCACCAAACGAAAGCATTTCAAGATCCTTTACTAGGGAACACTTCTCAAGCGTTTGTTGGTATCTAATGTGATCCATGGTGGATCCAAAAAGAATATTTTCCTGTAGAGTCCTTCGCCCATGAGCGGTAGGTCTCGGGTTCGAGACTTGGGAGCAGCCTCTCCATAAATGGGGGTAAGGCTAGCCGACATTCACCTCTCCCAGACCCTGCGTAAAGCGGGAGCCTTGTGCACTGGGTACGACCTTTTAGAGTTCCTGTTTGGATCCATGCAGACTGAGAAACATATGCTATCTTCCCATATACTTGAACCTGTAAAATTAGGCAGTCAGAAGCTATAGTAAGGCTTTACCATCCATAATAATTGAAACAATACTTCCAAGTGAATCGATTGCTTACAGTGCCATTGATGCGTGGAACTTCTCCAAGAATTGCAGCTAAAATGGTTGATTTACCGGAGCCAACCTCTCCACAAATTGCTACTTTGTCTCCGGGTTCAACCACCAAATTTATGTTCCTTAATGTAGGCCTTGTATAACTAGACCTATCCCATGAAATTTCGGAGGATATAATGTAAATGGAATGCTCAACCACTCTTCCATTGCTGTATTTCCTTGTATGTCTGTTCTCCAACTCCGGTTCATCAAGAAACTTCACAATCCGAGATAATGAAATTTTTGCTTCAATAAATGCTCCAAAAACATCTGGGATCACCCTAATGGGCTCCTGAACAATACGCATCGTTGCTAGAAAAGTAAAAACATTAACAGATGAGAGTGTAAATCCAAGGAAGTAGCATGTCCAGAAAGTAACTGCAGCGACCAAAATAGGAGATGACCAAAACAAAACTGTATAATACCCCTTTTGTCTCAATACTTGAGTTAACCATTTCATTTCTTCTGTTCTTAACCCTTCAATAACCTTCTTGAAATTTGTCTCCCAAGAATACAGCTTCAAGATCTTCATATTCGTAAGTGCTTCGGTAATAGCCTTGAGCCTCCTATTTTGTGCTGCCATGAGCTTTTTTTGGTACTTGTGCTGCAACTTCGTTAAGGGACAGCTTGCCACCACAGTCAATATAAGTACAGTTAGAGCTGCAACGGTTGCCAGCCCGACAGAAAAGTAAACAATAAGTAATGAAAGACACAGCTGAAGGCTTGTGGACCATAACTGATGAAACCAGAATGGAAAATCGCCAATTTTGTAAGCATCCACCGTTACATAATTCACTATCTCACCAGGAGAGTAAGTCATCTTGGCCGAATTTGAGAGTCGTAGTTGCTTCCGATATATTGCTGCAGTAACCACTGATCTTACTTGGAGCCCAATCAATCTAGTTCTAAAGTGCCATTGCCTCTCCGACAGTGACTCCAAGATTTTCACGATGAAGAGACCTAGAGTTAGCACATAACCCTCATATTTAAAAGCTGCATTACCTTCAACAACATTAATGAAGGCCATAAGAAACAATGGACCACTACTCAGGGTTAGAATCTTGATCAGTGCAAAGAGCCCCGACACCAAAATAGCTTTCCTCTGGCAGAAGAAAATAATGTACAAAACGGAAGGGTTATCAGATGAATCTCTTTTCTTTCTTTTGATCAACTGCTCCGTAAATATTAAGTACCACGTTTGCGCTTGATCAGCTTGTCGCAGTTGTGGAATATCTTCATTCTGAAGAAGCTTTTTCTTGCCTTTCTTCATCAATGGATTCAACCACCAAAATGACAATATACTAAATAACCTGGCTTTTGCAAAAGGGGTGACGTTGTCATTTGAGCAGATTTGATCTCTGACATCCGATTCCTCCCCTTGCAAAGGTGTGTAGAAAGCATCATCATGCAGTTCTAGATCACCTTTTGCAAATATATTGCTTCCCTGAAATGCACTAAAGAGCAAGAGTATTGACCCGGGGAAATATAAATGTTTAAAACAACATTAACGGTTACTGCCTCATCCACGACAGCTTCCCAAATTGATGAACTGCAAACAAAAGCTGCAAGCAAGAAGGCAAGAATCGAAAAAGCTTTCGTTATCATAATATGTGGAAAGTGTGGCTTCTTTAGGGTTATGGTTAAACTCAGAAGCAACCATGTGAACCCTTGAAAGAACAAGACTAGCCATCCATGGAGAGGTAAAACTGTCTGACTGGTATTAACTTTGTCAACGATTTTCCATATCCCAAACCCCAAGTAGGCCAAAGCCAAACCCGGATTAAGGCTGGCCGAGACAATTGACAGTGAATAGAAGGTGTGAGAGTCTGATGGTGCTGTAATCTTCTTTGCTGATATTCTATATATGAAGAAACATAACAAGATAAATAGGAGCAAGATATCAACTGCTATGATAAAAATATTGTTGAGACACGAATCTGGATCGATGAAGGATAAAAAGCCGGAAGTGCATTCAGTTCTGGACTCAGTGGAACAGTTGGAACTGCTGCAGAATAAGATCCAGAAACCCTCCCCCATGTTGTGTCTCAAGGATGTTGAAAATCTGCACAATTACGTAGGCATTTTAGTATTAAGCAGACCTATAGTAATATGACACTGAAACTCTGAAACTAAATGAGAGGATAATTTTTGCAGTGCAAAAACAAGAAATTTGCAGTGCTGTGCACAACTCACATGAGTGGACTCGAATTTTTGGAAGCAACCCAGAAAATCTCGGTATTGTCTCACTAGTAAGTCATCCCTCGTAGTGTATAACTTGCTCTTCAAGTAAGTATGGGTGTCATCAAGTCTTTAGAAGTCAATGACAGATGAGCCCTTGATTCATCACCTTGAACCTGTAAGTATAAGATCAGTGAGAGCAGCTCATTTCTTACAATTATATATACTAGCAGAGAGCACTTTGTGTGTGAACAATTTCTCTTAATAAGTGTATATTTATTTTTAATATTACATAATTACTGTTTTGTCTTCCTTATGTAAATATTGTGTATCATAAGTGAGGGTAAAATTGGATTAATAATGCTTGTCATATTTCCATGCCTTTTTCTTTATACATACTAGCAGAGAGCACACACTTTATGTGCGAACAATTTCTCTTAATAAGTGTTTATTTTTTTTAATATTACATAATTACTGTTTTGTCCTTGTTATGTAAATATTGTGTATGAAAAGTGAGGGTAAAATTGGAAAAATAAACATATGATTGTCATTTTGTCAAAATGTACAAAATTACTATTTTGCCCTCTTTTTTATAAATACTATGTATAAAAAATGAAGGTAAAATAGAAAAAAAAAAAAGTTGACAAGAAGGATTTTCTTAATAATAGTATAGATTCCTTGCTGTAAATGTGGCATTCATTAAAGGAAAAGGATTCTCTCCTGAGCATATGCTCAGGATCCTACTGAGCAGGAAGACCGTTGAATGAAAATCCAACGGTTATAAAAAGGTGGATCCCTTTAAAGTTATAATAATTGTAACTGTTGAGGTCCTCATGTCTGCTCAGCAGGATCCTGAGCATATGCTCAGGAGAGAATCCTTTTCCTTCATTAAAATACTTTATTTGTTCAACAACCAGCTGCATGTATTGTAAACACACAAATGCAAAGGACTCTTTGACTGTTGGGCAGAAAAGTGAAATCCCTTTTTAACTTATTGACAAGCGATTTGCTGTTTACAAAGATATTTTTACAATAAGCAAATACGCTCACGCCACGGCTACGCAACTGTGCAAAATTACAACTAGGTGTCAAACTTATAACAAATAAACGTCATTGTATTATATAAGTCGGACTTGAGTCTTGTTCCAACCAAGCCCTTTATTCCTTTAAATGATTGTGCATCAACCCAACAGTCGTGTCTATTTATACATCTTTGGTTGTTGTATACCCAATAGGTTTGGTGAGGATCCTATAATTCGTAAATAATGTTCATTTATCGTATATCGTGTGATCAGTTTTTGTCAGGTAATGTTTACATTTAATTTTAAATAAAAATATTTAAAATAATTTTTAACCACACGATTTATGATAAATGGATATGATTCATAAATTTCCAAGATCCTTACAAAGAGAATCCAGCGAATATTCGGATTCGTTGTATACTACCCTAAAACGTGACACCACCACGACCTAAATTCTACCTTTTTGTATTTAAGTGGGAAATGTGAAAACATTTGAAAATTAAAATAGATATAAAAAAGCAGATGACCATAAAAAGTGACACTAGTAGAAAACGGGCATCAGACACTGTTATTCAGCCGCCAATATGTATCTTTGTAAATCCTTTATCTCAAAAATCAATTCGCTATTAACACCTAGTAGAGGCTGTGTTGGTGTTCATATGGATTATGGAGCCTTCCCTGACAACTTTAATATTTGGATATCTCTCGTAGGCCGGAAAGTACGTTTACTACGGCAACCATATGGAAAGCAAAAATACTTACAAGGTACTGGGCTCTGATGGTGGAGGAAAATCAGAGGAAGACATCATTTGTTGTCAATGGTGTTGTAATTAATTTGTGCGCCCGTTTGCACAAATTATTTCTCAAGTTTTGGCACTGATGATAACTAAGTGTAAAAAGATGATGTGCTGTCTGGCTTAAAAACACATGCAGTGGTCTGCAATCCAACTATTGGTGGAAGAGAGGCCACAAAGACACATGCAGTGCAATAAGGAGCAATAGAAACCAATATTGGTAGAGGGACAATGCCATATTTTAGTGGCTGTATGGTGGCTATAAAGCCAGGTTTTCTGATACTGTGAACTGATTTTTTGGGTAGATTTCCTGCGTACAAAATGCATCATGCATGACACAATCTTACAAAAAAAACAAAACAATAAAAGTGAAACAGCCTTTTCAAAAGAGAAATGATTATACATCTGTATTCTCTTTGTACGCCTTCCTTGTAATGGGAAAATTTGATATGCATCTAATTTTGTTACATTGATCTTACATTAGGTCATCTCCAATCGGGTTGATTATAGGGTTATAGGCCAAATGATAGCCATTTTTATATAAAACTCATCTCTAATGGAGGTCTGGTCTAAAAAATCTTGGAACCTACCGAGCTAAAATCCAACCATATGGCCAACAAGCTAGACATCTTTAGCTAGCTAGCCTGCCCTCTCAGTTGAGCCTAGCTGGATTTTTTTAAGACGAAATTAAAAAAAGAAATTTCTAATTTCTAATTTTTTTTCTTATAAATACCTAAGACATTTCTACATTATTCCTCACATCATTTTCACCCTTCCATACTATTTTACCTTATTTTATTTCAATTATTCGCATTCTATTCACCTCAAATAATTTTTTCATCCACACCCCTCTCTTATCTCTTCCAATAATATTTCCCTTAATTTTTTCAATAATTTTCAAATTGTTACATCTTCAAGTGGCACTCAAAATATATCTGAAAACCTTATTTTAGTATGGTAGTTTAATTCAAATAACTAATAAAATTAAAGAACAAATTTATAATAATAAATTATTGGGGGGCTAAAATATAACTCTCTTTGATTGGAGATGGTATATAAATATGGTCTGACACTGTTCATTAAAAATAATTTCTTACAGAACTATAATTTAGACGGGGCTAAACATAACCCCTTCAATTAGAAATAACCTTAGGGGCTGCATGGCGGCTATAAAGCCAGGTTTTCTACTAGTGTGAACTAACTTTTTGGGTAGATTTCCTGCTTACAAAATGCATCATGCATGACACAATCTTACAAAATCAAAACGATAAAAATGAAACAACCTTTTTTCAAAAGAGAATAATTATACATCTGTGTTCTCCTGTACACCTTCCTTTTAATGAGAAAATTTGATATAAGTCTAATTTTTTTGTTACATTGATGAGTTTCAAACATTAAACTTAGCATACTCTTATCCATCGTGTTATCCACCCTTTATCACTAGGCTACTCTAGTGGCTTATGTACAAATTACGTTTTGATTGTTGGAGCAGCATTTTTCACGTGTAAAGGTGTTTTGTTCATATACTTCTTGTTGGATAAATATCAATAATTAATGATAAATTTATATATGCTAATAAATAATAAATGCAAATAAATAATTTAACAGAGTATGAACAAAACGAAATAATATTAAACATACAAAATGAAGATCGAGGCTTGCGTACCGCAATGTCCTTGAAACAAAATTTCGTCCATACTTTGTACTTGTAGTTCTACGGACGTCTACTTCACCAGGATTCAACAATCTAAGTTAAGATCCCAGCACCGGAAAACTAGACTTCTGGCAAATTTCTTTGTGGTTCTATCAGTAAGAAGGTTTGGGATTGTAGAAGAATTTGATTTTTCTGTGTTTTAAATGTCATGCTGATGGATGTATATATAATTGAGTTATGCCTATTATATGTATGAATATGGGATGCATCTCTTAGGAGACATCTTCTCAGAAGGGTGGCGTTCTTTCATTGCTTTAGACTTCATCTGAAAAAATGAGTCTGTTAAATTAAAAATTAAATCCGAAATTAATTAATTAAAAATAATTATATTTCTACTAAAAAATTTCCAACACTTCTAACTTGTATATCAATGGAATGAAGAATCACCGAATTCCAACGAGCAGCCAAATGAAGCCAACTAGAAACCAAATTAAAAACCAAATTAAAATCCAAAACAGTCACCAAAATTTCTGCATTCAAAATCTTTAACTCGTGCTTGAAAATTGAAATTAATTGAAAATAAGAAACTGCATGCATTTTTTGAGTTTTGGTTCTCAATATTATTGTTCCCAGTAGGCAGTAGGGAAGTAGACATGAAAATGTCTTTTTTTTTTTTTTTTTTTTAAGTTTAAGAAGTTGTTAAGCCAGCAACACTTCCAAATGCCATTTTCTTCCCGTCGCATCCCTTTTAGATTAGAATAGTTAGAATGGGCTTATTCTTCAACCTTTTTTTCGTTATCTTTTCCCACCCGCCATCATCATTGGTTGTCAGCAAGTGTGACGAGAGCCTTTGTGAAATGGCAGACAGACACTTATTATCTACGATCCGACAAACAACGGGTAAATGGAGGGATAGAAGGTCTTGCTACACAACTTCAGGCTTGCTTCTTAATTTCTTGGAGAAGGGAAACTATACTTTCATTAGCCAAATAGTAGGGTTGCAAAGCCTTTTGCGACAACTATGGTTCGTTTGCTGATCACCATTTATCGACGGTGGAAGAGTGCTTCTACTCCCAAGAGTGGCAGTGAACTTTCAGAAGACAACAACAATATTACTAGTAGCACACTCTTGGAGCTTATTTTACTGCTTTTTCTTGGATAGCCTCTCATAACTGGCATTTCTCAAGAACCTTTACCACAATGGTCGGAAGATAATTTGAGTTAGAAAAGGAAAGTTATATAGAGTTGTTGCAGTCCTATTAGATTAGGAATGTGATTGTGTAAATTGTAGTGTATTTAAGGATATCTTGGAATATTATCTAGGGTTAGATATCATTCTATTAGAGTTGTAATCCTATTAAGGTAAAGATTTAATCTTCTCTACTACTATAAATAAAGGCACAATGAGGTGATACAATACACCTCACAAACACATATCTCTCTCTTCTCTCTCTGTACTGCCAACCCCCCTTTCTCCCTAGCCCTAAATACAGCTTAGTAAATCAGGCCTACAACACGTTATCAGCACGCTCTTGCCAGAAGCTAAGGAACTGAAGGATCGTGGAGGAGACTTTCTTCTACAACATCAAATGCTCAATTATTTTCTACCAATCAGGTTCTTTTAAGATAAATTAAAATATTTGAAACGACTTTGAAGCATGAAAACATTTCTCATGATGCATGAACCCCTATATTTATATTTTCCTTTCGATTATATATATTGCCTATGTGTTAATATATTTTGTCAATATATATATTTGTTCATGCAATACGCAATTATGCTATGTGGAATTTGTGAGTCAAAGCATCGAAATTAATTTAGAAGCAATTAGGGTTTTTTTAACCCTAGAATTTGAAAAACAAAAAAAACAAAAAATCTGGGATTTTTGTGTGGCTGAGCCGTGGCTCCATGTCGTGCCGCCACTGGCATCGAGCCAAGTTGGTTGGCCTACAGCCACACCACCACCTTGGGACAATGTCGTTTGACGTCATAGACCATCACGGCAACAGTCTTCTGGGCTTGTTGCGCACACACGGACACTAGGCCTCGGCCCGGTAGGGTTTACCTCCAACACGGCGTGCAACCTTTGCTGGGCTCTGGTTCACACCCTTTGGCCCAAACCAGCAACCTTTGAGTTGCTAGGCTCTGTCCCGCATTCCACGACCCATCTGCAGTAAGCCCATTCGTTTGCTGGGTTCCCCACTCAGCCCACTCGGCCGCAACCTCTGTGTTGTTGGGCTTGTTTTGCCACGACCCAAAACAAACCTAGCCTTTGGCTGAGCTTCACATACATCTATCCCAGGCCAACCCCAGTGCCTAGCTTATGCTCATTGAGCCTTTTTTTGCCTAAAACTAGCAACTTGGCTACTAACCTCCTTCCCAATATACCCTTTAGGGCCTTGCCTTACACACGGTAGCTAGCCCATAAAGATGGGCTACGTTTTTTGAACCCAATGCCCCGTGTTTGGCATTCCCGCTTCTTAACCATTCTTCTATAATTTTTGAGACGTTATTGGTTAACGCTTATCAAGCTAATATTAACCCGAATGTCATTATTTTGCTTCTACAATCAAACCTGATGGTTACGATCTATTGAATTAATTAAAGTGACATGTAGTCCATTAATCTAACAATTAATCCAAAATTATTGGCTTGAAGTCCACTTTTTGGCAATTAACGATTCAATAAATTATTTCTTTTCTTTGAATTGTAGTCCTGATGCACTCACACTTGGGTTCCTGAAGCAATCCACAAATTCACTACACTTTATTGTATATTGTATTATGTGTTCTTGCAGGTACCCCTATATATAAACCAGACGTTCATAACTAAATCGAACCAGTAGTTTCAAATTTAGCGCATTTGAAACCCGCATTTTTCATTCAAAACTTACCATATGAAACCCGTAGCTTTCATGCTTAAATTAAACCAATACATGTCTATAGAACCCTAATGTTCTACAATGTATGTCTATGGTTTTCTATATGACTAACCACATTTTTGTTGTACCCTCTGTTTTAGGGACATGTTGAACTTGAACAAACTCGATTTCACCGGTTTGGAAGTATCTTGAAAAAGCTACCTAAAGTGGGTTCGAGACTTGAAGCTCCATCTTACCGCAAAGAGTCTTCGAGCTACCGAGAAACCTACTGAAGACCCGGTTGACGAAGCTTAGAATGCTACTACCATGATCTTCATCCGTATACACTTCTATGATGCACTGCAGACCGAGTACCTCAAAGAAGAGGACCCACGTACCCTCTGACTCATTCTGGCCGATCATTTCGATCACCAGAAAGGCATTTACTTGCCTAAAGCAAGACACGACTGGTAGCATTTACGCTTCCAAGACTTTAAGTCTGTGAATGAATACAAGTCTGAAGTTTGTATAATCCGATCATTGCTTAATTTCTATAAAGAGGATTTAACCAAACATAATCTCTTGGAGAAGACCTATTCGACCTTCAATGCCACCAATATTGTCCTGCAGTAACAATATAGGGTACAAAAGTTCACCAAATTTTCAGATTTGATTTTTGTTTTACTTCTCACTGAAAAGC